TGGGGCTACTGCTAAGTGTTAAATAGTAAGTGCACTGTTGCACGACGACCAATCCCATGACGTTCAACGCTTGTAGAAAGACTGTGTTTATTGCAGTTACTGTACTTTTGGACATGGTGAGATTTGGATGGTGTGCAAATATTTTATATTGAACGTCGTGAAATTGCTCGAAAATTATATTTTGAACGTCGTGACACTGACATAAATCATTTGACGTCGAGCAACACTCCCGTTACTCCAACTATGTTGCGTTACTCCAACCTTTATCGATATGCTAAAAGAAGTTAAACAAAACTCGCCTGCTGAATGTGACTTGTATGAAAATCATTATGTTTTATCCAATTTCTGTGCATGGTACATTATTAAACAAAATGTATGCCCGGTAGAAGTTTTTGCAGCAGACGTATGATTATTATAAACGTCCTGCCAAGTCCTACGCGAGGTATTGCGAATATATAGCTAATTAGGTATGTATTGTGGTGTGTACAGTGTGATGGAGTACGGCATTATTGATCGGAGGGTCAGAGCTTACGCCCCCATCACACATGAGGGTACTCACTACTCAGGGCAGCTGCCCCGTACTGCACAAAGCGCTCGTGCTGGCTCCATTCAGCGGCCCTCATAACTGCTAACTCGTACACTGACACTGGCACTGGTCGCAAAAACGTTACCTACCACCACCACGGGGTGGTCCTCTGTCCGGTAGACGGAGTGCGCCGGGTTAAACGGTTACCGAAAACAGTAATTGGCATCAGCAATTCAACTCCGTCCATCATAGTAAAACTAGCTTCATATCTAATATGTAAGGGATTTCTAGTTAGGCATCACATACAACATGTAACTTATGCATTAACATTATCAATCGTAGTTACTTTTCATTCTAGTCCTATAACATGTTTGTGCTATATGCACCAAGTAACTGTATCAACATTAAAAATACGTAAAATGTTCTAAATTATGTCTTAACAATTTTCGGAAGATTGCTTCGAACAATAAACAAACTAAGTAGATACCACTTTTTGTCCGTTAGAAATTTTTATACTGTAGTTGCGTTTTTATATTCTACCTACTACGTGCTTAAAATAAAAAAATCTACGAATATCTTACCAAAATATCATACTCAAATCCACGATACATTTAAGTAGCTAATTATTAATGGTTTGTAGTATTTATTCGACTACCTCATATTGGGTTGTTTTAATACAGCCGGGCACAAGCCAGGCAGGATAAGGTCTTTGTCCCGTGTGGCACGTGTTCTGCCGTTGGTGATCAGTCACCGTGGCGACGCCAGCTGACTCGGGAATCGAACCGTGAACGCGACATTCGCAACATGTGGTGTCGGTTGGAATGGTTATGAATTAATCACGATACTACGCCGTCGTAGTACAGCTAGCGTCAGCTAAGGTGGCTCATGGCGGCCTGTGGGCCTGGCACGGCACCATAGGCGGGGGGAGGGTGGAAACCAGCTTAAGACCGTTCTGAGAACATCGGACTGTCAGACGTGAGGTCCCGCGTTCCGACCGGCCAACTCTGCGAACATCTCGGCTCACTCACGGGGTTGACGTCCTAAACAAACTATGACTAATAGAGAGGGCGCTGTTATGACAAATCTTGTACGTTCTTAAGCACTGTGTCACTCAGTAGTGAGTTTTGCTTGTGCAGTGTCACAGTGGATCGTGAAGTGGACTGTTTTCATAACGAAACGTGTGTGAGTTTTTTTGTCATGGCAGAATTTAAATCGAAAGTAGGGATTGGTGGTAAGGTTTTGAAAAAGCTTTGTGAAGAAAAGTTTTCTTCGATATCGCAACAGGATTGGGAATGTAAGTGTAGGCACGTAAAAAATGTGGAAAATGAATACGCCGCAAAAGAGCCAGCCATCGATGAAATAACGGAAAGTTTCATCATTAATGTAGACGACAGCACCAGCGACGACGAGGGAACGAGCGACTCCGATGAATTCAGCGATATGTCTGGGATTGAGGAGTTATGATGGACCAACGTGCACCATGGGGTTTGTGGCAGTTTAGATGTTATTTCTTGTAAGAACATTCATTTGAATAGTTTTTTAATGTAAGCTTTTAGAACAATTACTAAGTGACCATGCGTTGTGTTTTATAGTGTTATATATATTTTTTACATACCGGTACTGTAGGTTTGTTAGAGTGTTTTATTATTAATAATGTAATTAGTTTAACGTACTGTAAATATGACGTGTATTATTTTATACAAATTTGTGATATTCTTACTTATAGATTAATCCTGTATTTTTACGATAAATGTGAATATGTAAATATTATAAGAATGAGTTAAAAAAAAAATAAAAAAGACGGAAGGCCGCTATAAATATTTTTTGAGTGGATCTGTAATATTAACCGGATCATTCATTTAATATGTAAGCGGCTAATATACACAACTTAACTGCGTGGGGAATACAACCTCTTTGGCTCGGTCAAGAATAGGCAAAAAATAGGTAAGCCCACAACGTTTAAACAACTTTGTTTAAATTTCATTGATGGTGATGATGAGTTTATAACATTGAACATATTATTGCAACCATAGATGAAGTAATATAATTACTAAGTAATATTATATTACTTCATCTATGTTGCAACCATTTTCCATCACTATTAGCTCTATTAGTAAAACAAATCATAAAAAGCGCAACCTAAGCACCCATGCTCCCTAGTTACATTAACAACTGTTCATAAAAAGTGTTTAGAAAGTTTAGTTTATTAATTGTTAATGGAAAACACATCTAGCATTTTGTATGCCGTCTACTGAAGCGCCTTCAAGAGAGCAGTGAGGGCAGTAGACGCAACCTGCATGACGGCAGACAATATTTTTAACCTAGGCTAGTACAGAATTTCTATCGGTCGGTCACGAGCCAGCTTAGCTGACGCTAGCTGTATCTACCTTAGGCCTACCTAGTGTTAGTGTAAGTTCTTTGTTTCGCACTACCAGAGAGAGCCAGGTGCGGCCGGTGCGGGTGACGCCCCATGCATGCAGAGATTACATATGAAGGGCCGCACGCGCGCCCTCCTCAGTGCCGCAGTTCCGCCGGATGTCACATGTGCAGCACACAGCCGAGTAACCAGAACATTATCAACTCCCAAGAGACGATCAGAGGGTTTTTAGCGGAACCAAACTCGGTAGTGCCAAAGAATTGCTCTATACGTTATTTTACATCGGTTTTATAAAGGTTGATCGGAAAAATCGTCAAAAGCCCTGCTCTGCATTCACAACAGGTCTTGAAATGTTACAGGGTTATAACATTGACTTTTTGAATAGTGATGTAGACATCCCAATCTATATGGTCCAGCTGTCGCCTATAGTATGAATGAGGCAGTCACTAAGATTGTTGATGAAATAGCAAAGGTGATATAGCATACAGTAAATTGTCCTATCAGTTTGACTGGGTTAACGAGTTTACGTATTCGACAGAGACCAGTATTTTCATCAGTGCACTCTGTATGTGGCTAAATTTAACTACCGCACCATCCGCACGTCCTTCTTGGTTCGAAAACTGGCGACAAATAAAAATAAACGGTATCAGCATTCTGACACATACTTTCTCCCATAAGTTTGTCAACAACCTTTATCATGTGTAAGCGGTGAGAGTAAATATACGGAAATGGGATTTATACAATTTTGTTCACAATTTAAAGGACTACATACTAAATATTTATCAAAATCTTTCAGGCCATTTTTGTGAAAATCGGATTTTTCCGTTATTTTATGGGTTCTTATGGGAAAATAACATAATTTACAATAACTTTTTAACCATAATTTTTACAGAAATGGGATTCTGTACCATTTTGTTCAGGGACTATAACATACAAAATTTTTATCAAAATCGTTCGGGCGGTTTTTGGGAAAATCCAATTTTTCCGTTATTTTATGGGGTTTTATGGGAAAATTTCCCATTAAAAATAAAAAATTTTAAAAATGAAAAAACAATCAAAATTTTAAGGACTATAACATACTATGTTAAAATAAAACCGGATTTTTTTCTAAAATCCTATTTTTCGTTATTTTATGGGGTTTTTATGGGAAAATAACATAATTTACCATAACTTTTGAACCGTAATTTTTACAGAAATGGGATTTGTACCATTTTGTTCAAAATTTAAAGGGCTACAACATACTACATTTTTATCAAAATCGTTCGGGCCATTTTTGAGAAAATTTGATTTTTCCGGTTTTTTATGGGGTTTTATGGGAAAATCCCCATTAGAAATCAGAATTTCAAAAAAATGAAAAAAACGCCTGGAGATACCATGGATTAGAACCTACATACCAAATTTCATCGAAATCGGACCACAGGTGTAATCCCTAGCTCTGTACACATCCAGACACACAGACACACACCAACACACACACACACACACACACACACACACACACAGACATCACTTTGAAAACCACTTTTTTGGGTCCAGGGGGACCCAAAACGGATATATCCACTCAAAACTCAAACTCGAAAATTTTGACGAAAACAATACTTTCTCCATATACTATGGTATAGGGGGAGAAAGTAAAATGGGAATGGGATGTCTAGTTCTATCAATATTTAGTTAAAGGTAAAATTTAAAAAAAATCCACTGCATAATGTGCTAATTTAATAATAGTTTAAATATACGCCATTTAAGAATACTTAATTGTGTACAGGGTGAAAAACATAAGTTTACATTTTTAATTCGCTGAACATACAGTATACTGTACTTGTTATGATTACAGAACAGTTGCACATAGTAATATGACCAACGAATGCTGTCGAGTGGGCCCCTTGAATTCAAACATCCCTTTCTCATCAATATACTGTACGTAGTTTTCGGTTCAGGGTATGATTATGATTATATTATATGAATAATTGTATGAATATTATATGTAAAATTGTAATTTTCATACAGCTTCGTGGTTCCTAATTTTATTGTTTGTACATTGAATAATAATTATAAATACTAACTTGTTCAATTTTGACAATTTATCGTCTGTTTCAGGTTCTCCAATGGTTATTTCACCACTAAAACCATCCAACCATGATAGGTAAGAATCATTTAACTACACTGTTATATGAAAATCGAATAGTTTGTGTCTGTATGTGTGTGAGTGTTACTCAATCAGGTAACAACTACTCGAAACCGACTGGGCTTGAATTTGACAGAAAATATTATCTTCTACACCAAGGAGTAATTGGTATTTTACTCCCAGAGCAAAACTAACTTCACCATGACGTAGAACCCGAGTGCTTGTTCGCGGGCAAAATTTAAACTCCCTTGCAGCGAATTCGATTAGCAATAGAAGCCGGATTTAACCCATCCTCGTATAACTAAGGTTCCAGTGAACTGTAGGTAATGTACGGTCCGGAATTTTACCCCCTGGAATTTTACTCTCGCAATTTTATCGCCCCGCGTGAAATTATCTGAATAGCTAAGACGTAATTTTACCCCCTGGCCAGATATAGAATTTGATGAGAATCATTGATTTGGTACATAATGGGTTTATCGTAGAGAAAGACTTGAAACAGTTAACTCCAATTGTACGCTATTTATATTGATGTAAAATCCTCATCTTTTAGCGAATTTCCCATATAGGGAATAAGCTATTACCGTAGGTCTCATGGTAAGACCTAGACCCGGGACCGATTTACTTTTTCGTTTTGAGGTCCCCAGAGGCCAAAAACACCATCCGTTCAAATTCATATACAGGGTGAGTTTCTACTTAGCGTGTTAACTTCGCCAGTAGGTTCTACTCACTAAAAGGAACAAAAAAGGTCCTATAAACCCATGTCCGGTTTTCAACCGTTTGGCTGTAATAGCGGATTTTGTGTTTTTCTTATTTTATTAGACTTTGCTCCACAATTTATGTAATAAAAACTTAACCCATTACTTTAGAGAGTTATAGTTAAAATCATTGGAAAGAATATTAAATTTGCTATAAATTAAAGGTTTCATTCAACAATTATACCATTACATAGTCCACGTTATATCCAAAATAAATTAAAAATGTCAATAAATTAATTAATTACGAAAATGTTCATGAGCCCACTTTGATACATAAACCTGCATTTATGCAATGTTGAAATGCATAAACAACTTGGTCATTTAATAATCTTTCAAATGATATGCTATTCAATACTATTATTGATATAAACCAGTGAGAAATTACTAATAAACTACAATAAAACACGGTTTACAGATTTTGTTTTTGCACAGTTTTACTGTTGATAATAATTACTGTATACTCCATGTTGTATTTTATTGAACAATCTGATAAGATTTGTACATTATTTTAACTTTTAAATATTTATTAAAATTATCTGAATTAATAAAATGTATAAACTCAAGGTTTTTCACATTTTCAAGGATGTAGTGTGTTTGATTCTTAAATGCTGTATAATTAGTTTTACCTTGTGCTTGATTAAGTCAGCTTTTATTGATTTGTCATCTATAGCTAGATAACTCAGCTGCTTAAACATACCTTGTTGAGTAATTTGCTGTTTTAACTTTATATTTCCAAGTCAATTAAGAGTTTTTCAACATTTATTAAACTATGGAGCCTTTTACCAATCAAGAGTATGCCAACATGATGAATACAGTAATTATTATTAACAGTAAAAACTGTGTCAAAACAAAATCTGTAGACCGTGTTTTATTGTAGTTTATTAGTAATTTCTCACTGGTTTATATCAATAATAGTATTGAATAGCATATCATTTGAAAGATTATTAAATGGCCAAGTTTTTTATGCATTTCAACATTGCATAGATGAAGGTTTATGTATCAAAGTGGGCTCATGAAAATTATCGTAATTAATTAATTTAATGACATTTTTACTTTATTTTGGATATAACGTGGACTATGTAATGGTATAATTCTTGAATGAAACCTTTGATTTATAGAAAATTTAATATTCTTTCCAATGATTTTAACTATAACTCTCTAAAGTAATTGGTTACGTTTTTATTACATAAATTGTGGAGCAAAGTCTAATAAAATAAGAAAAACACAAAATCCCCTATTACAGCCAAACGGTTGAAAATCGGACATGGGTTTATATGAACTTTTTTGTTCCTTTTAGTGAGTAGAACCTACTGGCGAAGTTAACACGGTCAGTAGAAACTCACCCTGTATATATATATATATATATATATATATATATATATTTATATATATATATATATATATATATATATATTTATATATATGTGTCCGTTAGCGCGATAACTCGAGCAAAATTAATCCGATTTTGATGAAATTTGGTACAAACATGTAAACCTACATTTATTTGAACGAGTTCGCGAACCAGCATAATCGGACCATGGGATCAGGGGTTTATGGGGGTTTTATGGGGTAAAAATGGGCTTTTCTCATTTTTGACCCTAAAAACTTAAAATTTCTAGATTTCTCTCTAGACCATTTTGAAGAGCTTAAAAATACAAATAATTTAGTATATTGAAGTATTTTTGAATGTTCATTGACTACGGAGAAAATTTAAAAAATTGTAAATTTAAAATTCCCATGTTATTCTTATGGAGAATAAATAAACTGTTCTAGTTTGCTTGTTTATGGATATATTTTAATCAAATTTGGCAATTTGGTTTATTTCATACTAAGCTATCAATATTTCAATTGAAAAAACACATCTCAACATCTTCCCCGTAGCAGCAAACCTAACTACTCACTAAAATTAATGTTATTTAAATAGGAAATAAATCTAAAAATTTATAGGGAATATTTTAGTAGAAATCAAGCCGGGTAAATGGAAATTCGCTTAGGATGCAGGTTTGCTGCGACGGGGGTATTTTTATTTATTCCGTCGTAATTATAAAATCTGAAGTGATTCGACAATAAAAAAATATACTTCCAACATGGCCTTCATTTAATTTAGGCCTACTTAGAATTATTATTCGATCGCTTACTTGTCGAAATTGTGAAATAACAAAAAAATAAAAACCCTGACACAATCGCGATTATATTTCAAGTTTGAAATCAAATTCACAAGTTTAGCAGTTATTTTGAGTAAATAGTTTGTCCGTTTTACGTGATTATTTAGAGTAACTCGAATCACTTACTTGAATTAAAAGGAAAAAATTAAAACAAATGTGCTTCAGTATAATTTTATTTTGGGGTAAGACTCTGGGTAGTACACTTTGATCTAAACTTATGAGGGGGTCGAATTCCGGCACGTACACGCTTGGGGTTTTATTTACTTTGTTGTAAATAAATTCACGACCGAGAAAAGATGCGATTAATTCTACCGTTAATTTATTTAGGCCTAACCCATTATGTACCCAAAGGTTCATGGGCAGATCTTATTATATTTGTTATTATGTCCTTAAATGCTTCGATTTGCAAAATTCTTACACCTACGTAATCGATTTTACTATTATTATTAAATCTATCACATACACATTTTAAATTAGGTTAGTTATTGCTATAAAACGACTTCCATTGTGATAGAGTCCGTTATATTTCAAACTTGTTTTGGGGGAAGGCCGTGCACCTTGTGAGGCACAAAGTACACTTTAGGCCGAAAGGTATCGAATCCTTCGTTTTAAACTCCTTTATACTCGGATGTGTTTGAAAGGACCTAATGGCCCTGACCGACCAAACAGTTCGTAGAAGTGGCCTAGGGTCGTGTTTTGATGCCTAGAGCCTCCTTACATTCCACCCCGCCACTCTCCCACGTCCGCCCGCCTATCTCTTGGGTTTGATGGTTTTATGTTCTGCCATATATATGTCACGTTCATCTTACATTTCTCCAGCTGTGTCTTGGCTGAAATACTAAACTCATCACTGTTTATCGGCCGTTCAGAGTCACTTTTGAAACCAGAAATGGAACTTTTTCTAGAAGTAGTCGTACAAAGTGGCATTTGATCCATTCAAATTATTTAGCAATGTAGCTGAATTCTCAACTTCCACTATTTTTCCTCACTCCGGAGGACAGCCGAACTAAAAACAATTTCGGATAAGATTACTTTAATTTAATAATAATCAACAGAAAATTTGCTTACCTGTAACATTTCATAAAAAATAACTATAAAAAACTACGATTTAAATAGAAAACGAAGTACTGAAAAAAAACTACTAATTTTGGAAGATGATCAACAGTGTGTAAATGGAAAGTGTCTTTTGTTTGCCGAATTTTGAAGTTGGCATTATTGTTTGCCCAGTCACCTCAATAATGCACGCAGCTTAATCACACAACATCATAACTTCAATCACAGAAAAGAGAGTAGCCAAGCACTGGCCTCAATGTTGTATGTACGTTTGATAACCTAATAGTGTTTATTTTAGTTGTGAGATGTCAAACATTGTTTACAAAATATTTCGTTTTTATGCAATTCGTCTTCAAGGTGTATTTTTTACCCTCGATAGAATTGACGCAAGAGGCTTTTTTCGTTTAAAATATTGCCACTTTGCTCAACAGTTGCACAAATAATTACAGTATTGTCTTTGTAGCCAGTTGAACCCACATTTTGTGCACTCTTATTTATACAGGCTACTCGTGTAACTAAATGTGTTCTTCAGATCTTGAAAGATTTCGCGGATTAAAAATTAAGAAATAGTATTCGTATAAATAACAAACGTAGGGATGTGTCTATATATAGGCTATTTATATATAAGTATGATTGTTTCTTGTTTATCTCCGCAAACAAATGAGGTTTCTCGCAATGTTGGCGATGGTTAGTAATGTCTTTCGCAATCAGTAAACATACGTCAATCACCTAATATCTTTACTGACCAGTATCCTAGTTTTGTTTGCCGTGCAGGCAGTAGGCGTGGCACTGGTCGGTGACAAAGGAAGGTGCGGTGTTTTGTAGTTTTGCAGTATTGTGGAGACTGGAGAGATGCTACCTGCAGCACAATGCCACACTTGCCGCATAGACCTACATCCCGCGCCTGCACCTGCAGTCCGACCTACCTGACACCACCTCCACCTCCACCTCTACACCATTCACCTCACCTCACCCACCACCCGACCCGCACATTCCTGGCCGGCCGTTGGGCTCAGCAAGGATTTAAACTTCTTACATCCCTCCA